TCCCCCCCGGCCCGGGGGGGGGCGGCGGGGAGCAGCCTCTTCGGGGGTGGCGGGGGGGGGGTGAAACTTTCTGAGGAGGAGCGCGGTCAGGCAGGAGAGCGGGCGGCTAGAGGTGCATGTGGAGTGCGGGGGGGCGGGGGCTGGTAGCAGCTCACGGCCGCGCTGGGGGCACATGGAGGGCTTGGCGAGTGGGCATGCGAGGGGAGAACCGGGGGTAACGGCCACTCACTCCTGGACGATCGATTCAGGCTCAGCGTTAGGGAACACTTCTGCACGTTTAGGGTGTCCAGATGTGGAATAAGCTCCCTGGCAGAGGAGACTGGACGGTCACCTCGCCGGGGTTGCCTGACCCCACGTGTCTTTCCTGCTGGGTGCAGGGGGCTGGACCCGACGATCCTCCGAGGTCGCTTCCGCCCTGACAAGCTGCGCACCTCCATCCTTGGAAGCTTTGAGGAGCAGGCTGGATGGACACACGGCTGGGATGATCCTGCCTCGAGCAGGGGGCTGGACTGGATGCGACCTCGTGAGGTCCCCTCCGGCCCGAAGTGCTATGATTCACCTTAGCCGTGACCGGGTCCTGTGGTGAGAAGTAGACGTAACGTTCGTGAGACTTCTAGAGCAGCGGTTCCCAATCTGCGGCACGCGAACGCAGACAGCCCGCCAGCGGTACCCGTTCACAGACTGATTATAATGACTTTATATGACAAAAATGTGCCGGGGGTACTTAAGGTTGAACTGAAAAGTTTGCTGGCGGTACTTCAGGTCGTATCGTGCGCAGTCTGTCGGTTTGGGAACCGCTGTTCCAGAGTGAAAAGTGAGCTGGGAAAATGGCAGACCTTGTTTATAGAGGACAAAACATTTCTTTTTCCTTTTTTAGGTTGCCTTTAAAAGTACAAAGAGGAAATTGTGTATAGAAAAGTTAAAGTGAAAGTTGCCCCTAGAAAGCTTCCTGTGTGATCCGGGTAATGCTGACTGTTGTAACCAGCCTGTGATATCAAACATTCATGCGCATAGGTGCAGATACATTAATGAAATTATTGAGTTAGCGTCTCATAATGTATATTTAACAATTCGTCCAGGGCAAATGCTTAGTACAGAGCAGTGACTCTAGTTGTACATCTAGACCTGTGAAAAATTATTTGTAAAATGTCAAAAATGCCTGCAGCCACATCCATGGTAGGGAAGGTTAAGCCTGATAAATATCGATATGAGAGACCTGCAAAGAAAACTTTGATGGTCTGGACAGTGTTGATTCAGTAGGTGGCACTCTTCCCTTTGGAACTGAACCATTATCCCAACATTGCACCCTGTTGGGTAGGACTGTGCTGCTGAAAGTACCGTTTTCAAGTGTTTAAAGCTAAATCTCGGCATTACCAATTGACTACATTTCAGCTTGAAATACCTCCCTCCAAAATATTCTTAGTAGTTTCAGATGGAGAAGTTTTTCTTCATGTCTTACGCTCTCAATTTTTCTGCAAAGTGTGACTGCTGATACTGGCTACCATGATCTATAACAGGCCTGTGTAACTGGTGCTCTGTCTCTTAGTGCCCCCCCTACCCCCGCCATTGCTCTCCTGTGCTGGTGTCTGGTCTCTCCCTCCCTCTTCCAGCTTCCATTTCCTGCCCACAGCTTTGAAGGTGGGGCATCATGGGGTGGCCCTCGTTGCATGTTCGGTTGGCTCCTAGCTATTTAGAAGCACACCTGATCTCCAGCGGTGGGGACAAATATCTTTGTCAGGCGTGCCACAAAGTAAGCCCTGCATCCACCCTGAGTGCCACCCTTATCTGTTACCCCTGACTGGTCTGTTGCTCTGCTTTCTCCCATTGCCCTGTGCTCCCTGCTTGACCTGTTCCTTTGCTTTCTATTCTCTGTCCTATCTGCTGTTGTGTTCCCTAGTTTCCTCCCTGATCTGTGCACTACACAGGAAGGCTTCCCAGGCCATTTGTGGCATGCGCGCTGCAGGCTGGGACACCTGGACTTGGATGCAATTTTAATTATAGGCCAGTAATGCAAAACATGTATACGTATATATTTCCAGACAAATCTTTGTAAATAGGGAGTTGAAATTCAGAGTTCATAATACTGAGCTGAGGGAGGGTAAAACAAAAAGGACATGGATGTTTCAAGTATCCCCCCCAAAATGTTACAAACCCATTTGAAAAATTCAGACTAGTATTATCAGGTAAGAGATGTAGAAAACTTTTGTTGTTGTGTAATGACATCAGGCAAAAAACCCCCCATACAATTAGGATCTTATTTTAGTTTTTTGTGATCCCAAATCACATTAATCCAAATTGTAATAATTTTTTTAAACATTTTTTACATGGTTCTGTCCTTACTGTGTTACAGAGTTTGTTGTTTGGGAGTCTGACTGATGTATTTATATACCTTAATATTTCTTTTTAATTAAATTTAAACTTTGAATGTCCTGGGTATGTAAAGCTTATTTTTGTTGGTTGGTCTCTTTTGGTTTGTTTTTTTGTTTTTTAAGGATAGCTGTATAATGTTACGGACCATCTTGAACATAGAAAAGTTAGGAATTGTGTAGAAAAGTTCAATACTATCATACGAATAATTGGCTATTGTGTAAATAAAGGCAGTGTAATTAATTGTATGGATGGTCTCATTTGTGGCATTTCCTAGCTGTTGAATTACCATATTTACTCAAGTAGAAGATGATCCAGATTATAAGACAACCTCTGCCCTGTAATTGGATCCTATATCTGGAAAAATTATGTATTTATTATACTTCTAGGTATAGAATCTAATTATTGGAGGTTTCCCTTGAATTTGTCCATTCCCACTGCTACAGCAGTGAAAATAAGTCTAGGGAGTCTCTGTTCATCTCCCCAGCTTTCCCCTCTGGCAAGCCTCTTCGCCCCTCATCTTACTGTCAGACCCTGCTCTCCCTGAGCAAATGGAAGTGAAGGGCAAATTTGAAAATAATAACCTTGAAATTCAACATGTCTGTAGTGATTTGCATATAGTACCCATGCACTTGATTCATCCAGAATTGATGCATGTTAGCTTTTTTTAAAAAACTGTTGCAGTTTTTAGCACAAACACCTACTTTTATATATTACAAACTATGCATGGTATTAGTCCAAAGCCAAAGACTCATGATTTACCATGTAGTTCATTGTGCTGGACCTCACCTGAATCAACAGCGTTTCAAGCCATGGTGACCCCAGAGCTCAGTATATGTGTGCACTCCAGATTCCCCCCCACAAAGGAGCCATGCGCTAATTAACCACCACTTATGACTAGAACTGGGTTCTGGGATTCTCCAAAATGTATATGTAGATGACGTGCAAGGGAACTTGGTCTGGTGTTACCTCATGCAGGGCAGGGCTGCACTAATCTATATAGGGACGTACCTAAATCGCGCTGGAAGTGCAATGTGCAGCGGCTCTTTTAACCTTGCTCTTTTTGCTGTGTGCCCCCTTAGCCCCTTCGCCGATGGCTGAGGGACCCTGGTAGTCCTGTTGCTTGCTCCTGATTAGCCTTGCTTCCCAATCAGCGACAAGCAGTAGGGCCGCTGGGGTCCCTTGACCAATCAGCAGTGAGGCAAAAACCATGGAATATTTAAAACTGGTTTTTGCAGGGTCCTCTCAGCCAATCAACGTGGTAGGGAAGAGTGGGAGAACACTGCCAAAAGAGCAAGATTAGAGGAGTCGCTTCCTGTCAGTTTTGTGGCAATGCAGACTGCTTTCTTGCTTTCCCCCTAGTTGCTCCTCGGCCTTTTGTCTAAGAGCAAGCAAGACAAGGGGGGATCCGAACTCAAGGCTTCTGAGACTGGGGCTTACACATAGGTTGCCACCCAAAAAAAAAAAAAAGATTCCCATCAGCACGTTTACCCAGTGTGGGCCATGTGTTTTATAGTCATACTTGGTGCTGGCTGTCTTTAATCAACTTTATAGTTGGTTTCCATTGCTGAGCACATGCTGCTTTTGGCAGCAGTTTAATGATAGACAATGTATTTAATGAGATTTCCTTGTGTGCATTTATAAGACGGGGTGCTTTTTTTACCATGCCAATTGGAGAGGGGGGGAACCTTGTTGTGTAGTCGAGTAAATACAGTATCTACTTTCCATAATACTTTTTCAGTATAATTTGATTTTTGTAAATTTGTTTTTAACAAAATCAAATTCTGTCATGTGTAGATATGATGTGCAAAGCTCCTTATAATTAGGTTTTGAACTGTGGGTTTTCAGCAGTCTTCTATTCACTGAATGAAAGGATTAATTTTAGCAGCCAACAATAGGAATATAATGTTATTTTCTATCTACTAGAAGAGGAAGTGGGATACTCTGTAACAGTGGGTTGCACATATATGAGAAGCCTCATTTTGGTGTCTTAAGTTAATGAGACATGGTTCTGTTATATTAGACATCTGTAGGCTTGTGAAATTTAGAGTATTGGCAACAATTTGTAGTTAAAAAAAGACATTAGAATTCATCCAGTGATTCCTGTACCAGTACATTTTACTCTGGTAAAAGAATATTTTGCTGAAGAAGTGATCTATTGTGTGGCATGCTGAAGCTCATATACAGGAGACCCTCGCCATTCATGGGGGATATGTTCCAGAGATCCCTGCGAATGGTGAAATCTGCGAATATGTCAGGATTGCCCGGGGCAGCAAGCTCAGAGCTCCTGCAGACGCCGCCGCCAGCGCTGTTGGTGGCAGGGGCAAGAGCGTGCGGGGAGAGAGCGTGGGTTCAAATATTCAAAACTGTGAATGGCAAATCCATGAAGGGCGAGGGTTTCCTATAATAAAGTAGTGTTTCACTGATGCTAGTAGAATTGGGGGTTTTACCATCAAGACAGTCATACATTATATTGAGCAAAACATGGTTGCGAAGAGGTGATTCTCAGTGCTTCATAATCTGCCTAAATCTAGTATGGTTTTCACTGAGCCCTCTAAAGTTGCCTCCTTTACGGAGTTTAAATTACTGCTGAATACCACAGAAGCACTGGAGTTCTTAGGAAAACTTGTTTTTAATAGAAAATTTTAGGTAACATAGCAGGCATTTCCCTCCCCCTGTAGAACATTTCCAAACAAAATATTTAGAGCAGGGATGTCAAAGATATGGCCTGCAGCCTGGATCTGGACCACAAAGCCCTGTCATCCTGCCTGCGGTACTTACTTCCCATGTACTGGACCTGGCTTCATACAGCACATACCTGGACCAGCCCCATGGGCTGGACCAAAGCAGATCCAGGACACATGGGGCCAGGCCAGTTTGCACACCGTAATAGCCAGCCTCATGTGCTATATCCAGCATGCAGGGCCAGTCTTTCAGACCTGATTTAGCCCACAGTTTGGCCCCTTACTAGTCATTTGTCTTGTGCACTGTCCCCACGCTACTTGTCTGGCTCTAGGGCCAAATTAGTTTGACACCCCTGGCATCAGGGGTTGATGGTGTATATCTGTAGAATTGTGGTACATCTTCAGAAATATTCAGTTATTAACGATAAAATGAACAGTCCAGGGATACAGGTAATTCTCCCACTGTCATAACATCTTTTATCACTCGCTTTTGCCTAGCTAAACTTGAAGCACTCATTCTTCATAGGGACA